GATAGAACAGCTTGTGTTTATTTGCTCTTCCATATTCATTTGTTAATAAATGTAACCTTTTTTTAAACTTACATTAATATTTCTACAATATTGCCATGTATCCAGTGGGACAGCTTTTGTTTTAAAATTGCAATTGTCAGTCTAAATTGTTCTACCTAGGTATATATTTTAAATTTTCAGTAGACATTTTTATACTATTCATGAAGCTATTAATTTTGCTTAATGGTAAAAGATCATTCATTCAGCAAACTTAAACTATTTTGCTATCATTATAGGTACGAATGCGAAGAATCTTTTACAACACTGAATGTAGATATAAGAAATCACCAAAATCTGCTTGACTCCTTAGAACAATATGTCAAAGGAGACTTACTGGAAGGTGCAAATGCATATCACTGTGAAAAATGCAACAAGAAGGTAATTTTGGCATGCCTTAAGAAAACACTCTAAATCTGTTTGATTCAGCAGCAGCTGACATAGGTCAGTAAGACAACAATTTAGATGTTTTATGAGTATTGAGAGCTCCTATTCATCATATTTTAGTCAGAATTCAAGAATATTTCTTAGAATGATGGTGGCCAAGATCTCCATTTTTTTTTTAATTACAAAAGGAGGTACATATGAATTTAGAGCTGTATTGCTACCACTTCCTTAATTGTGTTATTTTAAATTTGTGTATATGAGACCAGAGAGTTGATTATAGCATTTTGGTTTTAAAAAATGGCTATAATTTGTTGCTTTTGATAATTCACAGCAATAAGTATGTGTTTATTTCTCAGGTTGATACAGTGAAACGCTTGCTGATTAAAAAACTGCCTCCAGTTCTTGCCATCCAGCTAAAACGATTTGACTATGACTGGGAAAGGGAATGTGCAATCAAGTTCAATGATTACTTTGAGTTTCCACGTGAGTTGGATATGGAACCTTATACTGTGGCAGGAGTAGCTAAGCTGGAAGGGGATGACGTAAACCCTGAAAACCAGCTAATACAGAATGAACAATCAGAAAATGAACATTCTGGAAGTACAAAATACAGATTAGTGGGTGTATTGGTGCACAGTGGTCAGGCCAGTGGTGGACATTACTACTCTTACATTATTCAAAGAAATGGAGGAGATGGTGAGAAAAACAGATGGTATAAATTTGATGATGGCGATGTAACTGAATGCAAAATGGATGATGATGAAGAAATGAAAAATCAGTGTTTTGGTGGAGAGTACATGGGAGAAGTATTTGATCATATGATGAAACGGATGTCCTACAGACGTCAGAAGAGGTGGTGGAATGCTTACATTCTTTTTTATGAACGTATGGACACAGTAGAGAAAGACAATGAACTTATAAAATATATTTCAGAACTTGCAATGACCACTAAACCCCATCAAATTAAAATGCCATCTGCCATTGAACGGAGTGTACGAAAGCAAAATGTACAGTTCATGCATAACCGAATGCAGTACAGCCTGGAATATTTTCAGTTTGTAAAAAAATTATTGACATGTAACAGTGTCTACCTAAATCCCCCTCCAGGTAAGTTTTTGGATATTCCTAGTGAAAATGAATTACACACTTATGTAAAAGTAGAAGATATTTAACATTTTTCAGACTTCTGGATTTCATTTTTAACATTTTCAGTATACCTGACAATTTTTCCCTGAGATTAATTTTAAAATGTTTACTAAATTACTTTTTAATACATTATGGATATCTTTCTTATTATCATTATCTTCCATGTCCATCTTGAAGCCAAAAAGCCTTCAATATAAACAAAATAAGGTGCTTAAGTGTACTTAGAGAGCCAGTTTGGTGTAGTAGTTAAGATATCAGGCCAGAAACTGGAAACCGTGAGTTCTAGTCCTGTTTTAGGCACAAAGCCAGCTGGGTGACCTTGGGCCAGTCAGTCTCTCTCAGCCCTAGGAAGGAGGCAGTGGCAAACCACTTCCAAAAAACCTTGCCAAGAAAACTACAGGGACTAGTCCAGTCAGTTGCCAGGAGTCAAAACTGATTCAAATGCACAAAGTGTACTTAAGATGTCAGGCAGTATCGCTGAAAAAAAGTGACAAATTCTTGAAGTAGATTGATTTAAGAACTATTTTGAGTCAGGTTGACTTTTCAGATTTCAGTACATATAAACTCAATTACAACATTCTACATTTTCTTTTTAGGACAAGATCATCTACTACCTGAAGCAGAGGAAATTACAATGATAAGTGTTCAGCTTGCTGCTAGGTTTCTGTTTACCACAGGATTTCACACAAAGAAAATAGTTCGTGGTCCTGCCAGTGATTGGTAAATTTTGACTTTAAGAGTGTTAATTAGTCATACCTTCAGTGTTTTTAGTGTACTGCTCGTATGATAGTATTTTAATCAGTCAGAAACAAATACCATTACAGTGAAATTGAAAGCTGTGTTGCATTTGCTTGCAACTTGTTTTTTAGAAATACAAAATTTGCCCTACTTTTGAGACATTAACACAAAGGTACATATTTAAACGTAATTGAGATTAGCAATTAGTATTGACAGTAAAACCAGAAAACTTCTACAGTTAGGGTTAATGTATTTTTTCTAATCACACATAATATTAGATTTTTTTCAATCATTTCCAGGACCTGTTGGTATTTTCCATATTTTATTCAACTTTGTTTTTACAACAGCCCTGTCACGCAGATCAGACTGATACACACTGATAGGCTTCAAATTACCTAGTGACCTTTATGACTAATGGTGATAGGAAGATGAATATTTCTGTCTATTACACAGTAGCATCTATCAGATGTGTGTCCTGCAACATAGAGCAACATGTTCTGGAGTTTTAGAGAGCATGTCTATTTGCATATCTCTAGTGGTGGGATAAATGTTCTTTTCTCTATTATTTGAACTGCTCGCTAGTATTATTATTGAGAATATTCTCTTGCTTTGAAGTTTGTTTGGCATGGCTAGTCTTTCTTTTCACAGTATCTGTTGCGCATACTAATTCCGGAGCTCTTGTTAGAGGGTATGTTCCTGAGCATTGCAGAGCTAAAAGAATAGCAAGTAACTGAGTGGCAACAGATGCCATTCAAAAAGAAAAATACTCATAATATAGTTGCCTTGGATGCACAATATAATTGCATCCTAGCTATATTGAACACTAACACTTTCATTATATTTGAAGTAAAATGTAGATTAATTAAGAAATAAATAAAAATGAGGCTCTTCTGTTCTATAAATTACATCTTGAGAAGAGAAAGAGAAATTTCCCTAGTCTCTGATACCCAGAGATTCTTTATACTAACAGTAGGCCATGTAAGAAACAGATACGGACAGTGGGTAAAGATTTTCTCCTTACCTGTCTCTCACCATTTGCCTTAGTGAGGAAATGGCTCATAGGTATAGAGAGATGAAGCAGTCTCCCGTACCCTTCAAAGCATCTGGAACCCATCTCAGGGTGATGGCTTTATCAGCACATTGCCTCTCATTTGTTCTGTGGGACAATTCTGGACACTGACAAGTCCTTGCCTTGTACATCTCTGCATAGTTCATTTGGTGTCAGTATGCTTTACTCCTGAATTAATCTTTTCTTTTTGTGATGACAATACAATCTATTTTTCTTCAAGCATTTCTAAAGGCTTGGGTTCAGTAATTCCACAATCCTCTAGCAATTTGTAAATCTGTATGGCTTGGCAACTAGCTTTACTAGCTGAAGTGTACTCAGCCTCTGTGGAAGACAGTGACACAGTGGCTTACTCCTTGCTGGCCCACCTGATTACTTCACCACCATAGAGGAACAAGTGTTTTGTGGTCAGCTTTATCATCAGCCCGGTCTTCATGCAAGTATTCAAGTAGGTCAGGGTTTCTGCTTGCTGGCAGCTTCAGCTTCATACCCTTGAGGTATATGCCCAGACTCTCAACTGGAGTCGAGTCACTTGGGATGGCACATTTACTTTCTGCATAGGAGTCCTGCAGCTTTGTCAACTCTTTATTGCTTTTCCTGTGGCAGGGGAGTTTCACAAGTTGTTAGGTATTTGAGGCTCTGTCTCTTTCTTTGCTGCTGTTTTCCATTTCTTGCCTTCATGAATTGGCAGCTTTTGGGTGTCTCCCCCAGTCTCTTGCTCCTTCACCCTTTCCTTTTGGCCATGAATGAGAACTTAACTATAGGGTTGTGATTTCTCTGTGAGGACCTTAACTATGGCTTTCTCCATGGGGAATGACAGATTACTTTTATCCCCTTATTCTGAATAAATTAAAAGAGCATGATTTCTCTTTGTCGCTTCTCCTGTCTGGCCATTGTTTGATTATATCTTTCCAGGTTGTCCAGTTCCATGCCTCTATATGTACCATTCACTTCACCCTGCATCTGAAAAATTGTATAAGTTTCTTTTAATTTTTAGCTTCATTTTTTTTCATTTGTATCTGTTTTATCTATATTTGACTGCTGGGCTGTCATAATAAAATAGTGATTTAGATTTGGCTGTTGAAATAGCTTCTACATATTTTTGATCCAGCCTGTGTCAGCTAGCATATACACATCCAGCAGAGAACATTTTTTTGTTAATCCATTTTATTCTGCGTAAAGAAAGAGGCTTCTCATGAATAGTTGCATTTACCTTTAAATAATTAAAGATCTGTCTACTCATAAATTCTCATCCATTATCAGAATATAAAATCTGTGCTTTCTTCCCAATTTGTTTTCTACATAAACCACAAATTGTTTGAATCTGCTGAACTTGTTATTCTTGTGGCTTATCAGGTGTAAACAGTAAAAATGAGATGATTCATTAAAAAATACTATGTTTTATGTTTTTTTATCTGGATCATAATTATAATAAACTTGGATCCAGAGTATAGGCTTAGCCCAGCTATCAGTGAATGCTAACAGACATTTATTCCATTTGAAGTCAAAGATAGGTTTATTAAGAAATGTATAGAATAAGGAAGCCGTACTTCTATCTAAACAACATTGAGAGAAAGAGTGAGTGTGTGCATGCACAGAATTTCCCTTATCTCTTAAACGCAGAGACTCATTTTATTAACATGCCAGATGAGAGACAGACTGGATGACAGTGTATAAAGATTCTTTCCCTTATCTGTCTCTCACCATTTGCTCTGGTGGCTCATAGATATAAACAACAAAACAAACAAACATTTTAATTGCTGCATGCCTCCAGCAGGGTACAGTCAAACCTTTGTAACAATTAACAGTTACAAAAGAACTAAATCAGTAATTAAAATTACACAAAAAGAATAAAATAAATATATGCCATAATATATGTACAATCATAGTGAAAATGATTCTACATAATGATAAACTTACCTAGCATCTAACTTTACTAATATAGCAAAGAGATGATGCAGTAATCTGACATGAGAGTAAGAAGAATTTGCCATAATTAATGACATGATCAGCATCCTGAATATTACCTGCTTCAAAATAGACATAAAGTGCTTCTCATTTGAACAGCCGTATCTGGTCATAACCAGCCCTTTTAACTATATAGATTGAAATGTGCCTGTTTTGAATTTGGTTCTATCTGTGCCATCAGACCTTCTCATTTTGATTCCTTATTTTAAAACAGATAGAACAATAAACCATAATTAATGCAAGCAAGAGTTTGAAGACAGTTGACAAAATTGCTTAAGTAGGAATCTTGGTTATTGTTAAGCAAAGTTAGCACTGTGGATGTAATATTTAAGGAAACAGGAAAGGAGCAGAGGAAATTTGGAGGATTTAAGGAAAAGCAGCAGGAAATCTCCCAGCTGACTCACAGTTAAGCAAGACTATGAGTTTGAAATCTTGCTATAATGCTAATGCTATATCCTTGCTATATTTAGTATTCCTTAACAATATTGAATACTTTAATTAGTAGCATTCTAACTATATTTCATATATATAGATCAGTATTCTGAAAATGTGATGCTTTTAATTAATATTTTTTTCAGGTATGATGCTTTGTGCATTCTCCTTCGTCACAGCAAGAATGTACGTTTTTGGTTTGCACACAATGTCCTTTTCAATGTTTCAAATCGCTTCTCAGAATACCTTTTGGAATGCCCAAGTGCTGAAGTAAGAGGAGCATTTGCAAAATTGATAGTATTTATTGCACATTTTTCATTACAAGATGGACCATGTCCTTCACCCTTTGCTTCACCTGGACCTTCTAGTCAGGTATGCTCATTCTGCAACCAAAATGCAATATGAAAGAACTAGTTTATATACAATGGTATAATCATCTGTTTTGATATAAAGGCATCCTAGTTGATTAACTATTTATGAATTCATGTTGGACTCTATGCAGTGGCTTATATTAACTTCCTGAATATTACTGGCTTGGGTGATATCTGCTTCATATTTAGCTGATTTAACTAATTAAGGGGAACAGATAAACGATAAGTTTTGTTGTGGGGAAAACAGGAGGCAGGAGTATTAGGTAAGTTTGCTGCCTTGACCAAATATATATATTTTTAAAAGGTGATATTATTATGGTTGGTCACACAGTCAGCCAGATGTTTAGACTGGATTTGGCATTTTTATCCACCTATTGAATCCTTCTCCAGGACCTGGGATAGGCAGAAGTTGTTGTTACAATGGTGTTAAAGGTATCGTCGCAGGATATAAGCTGTTCCAAGTAAAGCTGCTTTTTGCAATTGACTGACAGTGATTCTAGACAGTGGACATTGCAATACCTGGAGACAGCAGAATAGAAGAGAAAGAACTGGAGAAAATCACAAAATAGAAAGACCTGCAAATAGAAGTAGGACGACTGTGGCAAAAGAAAGCAACGATAGTACCAATGGTAATAAGCGCCTTAGGTGCAATCCCAAAACATCTGGAGCACCACTTGAACACCATTGGCATTAACAAAATCACCATCAGTCAATTGCAAAAGGCAGCTTTACTTGGAACAGCTTATATCCTCCGATGATACCTTTAACACCATCAAACAACATCTACCTATCCCAGGTCCTTGGGAAGGACTCAATAGGTGAATAAAAATGCCAAATCCAGTCTAAATATCTGGCTGACTGTGGAACAACCACCATTATTATTATTTCTCTACATTATATGCATATGCATATACTACACTAGATCTTCATAGCGATATAATACAATTAACAGTTTAGTTTCATTTGAGGTTTGTTTTGAGTCCAGTTGGTCCCTTAAAAAGGCTTAATGAAATTGTAATTTACTTTCTAGTATATTTAGCCTGTAAATAAAAATTTAACATGCCTTATTTTTTATAGGCATATGACAATTTAAGTTTGAGTGACCATTTGTTAAGAGCAGTACTGAATCTTCTTAGAAGGGAAGTGTCTGAGCATGGGCGTCATTTGCAGCAATATTTCAACTTGTTCGTGATGTATGCCAACTTAGGTAATTTTCTGTTTCTTTCTAAAAACAATTAAGGTAAATGTTCAGATAATTTCATTTGCATATGTCTTATTATTCCTGTTTTCTTTCCCTTTGAAATAACCTAATTTCATCAAAAGATTCGTGCCAAACTTTTTTATATGGCTCATTGGGTGTTGCAAAATTTTTTTTTTTTTTTTTTTACAGTCAAGACAGTAGTTTTCAAATTATGTTCTGGAAATTCCCTTCAATTCTTCAGTGAAAAAATCAACAGTAACAGGGAGGCTTCTCTGGAAGATGTGTTACCAGTATACCCTTGAATCCATGGCTAGAGGGAGACAAGTATTAAATGTCTTCCATACTTTAAAGGTGGAATAAAAAGATCTGGCAGGGTTGGCACACTCTGGGTTTCATCGATTAAACAATGCCACCTACAGGGACTCCAGAAGCACACCTTCTCTGTAGCAGTGTCTGCCCTCTGGAATGAGGTTCCCCCCAAAATTCAAATGGCTGGCACCCTATTGGGATTTCAAAGGGCCTTAAAGACCTGGCTCTTCACCCAGGCATTTGGAGAGGATGATTGATGTCCCTTTTTTCCTTTCTGTTCCCCTCTGCCCTCGTTGTCCCTTGGTCTTATGCTGTTTTTATGTTTTCTGTATTATTCTTTGTTTTTTAAATGTTTTAACTATTGTAAACTGCCCAGAGTTGCTGGGAGTCAGGCAGCATATAAATTTAATAAATTATTGTTATATTATTACTTAATTTTTTATGCAAGCACATGTGGTGAAATGCAAATAAAGTGTTAACTGAGTACTTCCTTATAATGAAGGCAGGGCAGAAAACTTAGCGAATTTGGAGAGAAAGCAGTGAAGAAAAAGAGTAGAAAGAGAAATAGGATAAGAAAAGGAAAGTATTAGTATATAGAAAAGAAAGACACAGATGTGAAAAAGTAAACTATCATTTTGTAAGTAGGCACAGAGTTCTGTATCTCTAAGCAGAAATAACTTGTATAACACACTATGTTCATACTGTTATTAATAAAGTTTTAATTGGTAAACAATTGATTCAGTAAATGAGAAAAGCATATAATATAATCACACAAGACCCTAAGCTACAGAAAAATACAAGGGAGAATAAGAACTCTTAAATTTATCATCTTAAAATGGTGGCAGTGAGATTTTATATTTATGCTCAGAATAAATTTTGAAGATACTATGCCACTTCTGATCAAATAAACCCAGTTTTGCCATAGAGGATACACATTAACTGCTTGTATTTAAATTGGTATATGTTCCCACATCTGGTATGTCATTTGGTTCTTTATTTTGATCTCTGCATCACATTTTGGGGGTTTCACGCATAAGCAGAAATCCTATTAGGAATCTATAACTTTAGAGACTTTTTGTTGGAAATCTACCCTACTGTATATTCCCAGATGTACAACTCCTGCTTTCCCTTCAGTTTCAAACACCACAGTAGTCTCATTGGTAGGAACTAAATGAGGGCAGTGGTGAAGATTCCAGATATTCTTTTTTTCTCTTTATCATTCTAATACTGACTTTTGATTTTATATTTTTGTTTAATCATACATTTAAAAACAAAAGGGAAAAAAAGCACAAAAAGGATATGAGAGGAATAGTACAGAGCAGAGGAGCATGGAGTTTATCTTGGACCTTTCCAGTAGTAAACTATTTTCCCAAGACAGGCATTTGCTTTATCTGTCTTTCTTGGGAGACTGCCATATAATGGACTGCTATATCTATTGCCAAAAATGTACTAAACAGACTCACTGAAACTGCTTGTTCTGACTTCACACATACCTCTAGGAAAAAAATTTGCTGCCTATGGGACCCTCAGCTTCTGCATCAAGTACACTTGGTTCACTGTTTGGTCCCAGCTGCCTCCAATTACAATCTGATTATCAGGTTTGGTGCTGCTTCTGAGCCATCATCCACTTCAGCAGTACTGATGACTTATGTGATTCTCAGTCTTGTCGTAAAACTTATCAGTGCCAAGTCATTCTATGGGCATTTGTCTGTCCAAATATAAATAGAATGGGAAGAGAGAAAACTTTGATCAGATTAGGACCTGAGGTACCAAAGATTAAAAAAACACCTAAAAAATAGTCTTATATCAACAACATATCTTTAAGTAAGATACTGACTCCAACTTCACTGTTTAACCTCACTTATCTTGAAGTTAATTAGCCGGTTTTAATTCTGTATGTTTAACTTTTGGTTTGGTGTAGTGGTTAAGGCATCAGACTAGAAACTGAGAGACTATGAGTTTTAGTCCTGCCTTAAGCACAAAGCCATTTGGGCGACCTGGGCCAGTCATTCTCTCTCAGCCTTAGAAGGAGGTCATGGCAAACCACTTCCAAAAACTTTGCCAAGAAAACAGCAGCAACTAGTATAGGCAGTTGCCAGGAGTCAAAAACTGACTTGAAAGAATCAGTCATTCTGTATAGCTAGTAGGTTTTCCTCACAATAACCAAAGGGTTATGGACTCAACTAAAAAGATGAGATGAGGGATTCTTCTCTGCCTCATGACATAATGTTCCACATCTTCGCTCTTGATATTCTTGTAGGCAATTCCCATGGGATGGACAGCAACTTCATCAATCCCTAGAATGCTTTGCCTCCCCCAAATCACAGTATTCATATCTCAGCTGGTATCAGTCTCAATATGATAACCATCAATACTGTTTTTTCCACTAATGTTCAGGGGTTGGAATTGTTGCTTTCCAATTGAAGAAAGTTAGTCAAAGAAATGTACCCTTCAGAAGACATATTCTGCTACTGTTCCCCATTTTTGTCATGGTAGTTTAATACATCTGTGTAAGTATCTATCTCTTTTTTCTTCAATTTGAATGGAAACAATATGCAGTTTCCAGATAGCTTTAGGCGATTACTACTATTGTGAGCAAGAGTCATACACCCTTTGGCAGGATCGAACTTGGCTGACATTTCTCAGGCTCTTGATGTAGCACAGCTAAAAATATGTACTTTCACCTCAAAATTGAAGTCATTTCCAATAGTGGATTGCCTCTGTCAGTCACAGCAGCTGTCCCACCTTTATGCTTACCACAATCTTCCTACTGCAAGTATTGGTAATGATTCCAACTATGATAATATAGAGACCAATCTCACTGATGGTTCCTTTAACAATCACAGCTACCAACCTGGCCTGCTCTCCAGAAACAATGGTCTAAGACTAATTGTTAGGATCTCTGTTGGAAAGCAGTTGTTCCTGTCTTAAGCATTTGCTACAGATGAGTTTGACAAGTGCAGCAGATGCTAATCCTGTCAAGGATCCTGTTTTCCAGCTAGTAGACTTTGATGCTTAAACCCCTTTTGTTTATTGTCCTCTGTGCCATTTAGTACTAAACCTGTGGAAAATTTATAAAAACTTCCAACAGCAAGATTGCAAGTTGTTTTAACATTTCACTGCAGTTAACTTGCACATTAACTGAATGAAGACTACAGAAAATTCTGAAGCTGGAGCCACATAGCACCAGTGGGTAAAGCAACAAAAACTGTATGTTGTAGGGAGAGAGGTTTATTATACCACTGCCATTCAGCTCCAGATAGCTAACCATCAGGCTGCCTGGCATTGCACCTGTTCTTCCATTGTTTCCCCCACAGCTCCCACATAACAAAAAGGACATAGCAGGTGTTGTATTGCAGAGGACAGTAGGCTGTTGAGATTAACAGATCAGCAAAATGAAGCTTCTTTAGAGAGTTGAGCTTTGAAAACATCCTGGACTTTTGTGCTGCAGAGTTCTCCCAAGAAATGCAGAAGTGCTACTTTTTGAAGTGGTGGACCCGACCCTCTTCTGTCTTAAGATTGGTGGTATTATGGAAGAAAGGCAGGCAGGCAGGCAGGCTATAGCATCTTACATAAGTAGGAATCCAGTTGCTCAACATTCTTATCTTCAATACCATCCTTGGTCTCATGGGTGCAATTTGACAAGTGGTTTCATTCATCTCCATCTTCCTTGTGCTCCTGCTCTGCTCATACCACTAGATTGTTGATGACTTCATCCAGGTCTTATTTTTTCTATAAGAGAGTTTGGGAACAACTGCTTAGACATCTTTGACTTGAACACCACTCAGTAGAAAGATTACTTTGGTCCTTATGTTGCTTATCTGGAAACCTGAGAGGTTATTACAACAGTTTTATAGATGCCCAGTTGTAAGTTTGGGCATCTATAAGTAAGTGTGCTACAAGTTTCTTGTGACACCACCTCATAACCATACTTTCTGACTTTCTACTCCTGTGGATGAAGTTTGAGCATTGTTATCCAAATAATGAATTAGAGTACTAAGGTTCTTTTTACTGTCAGTACTTTGCTGTTCCAAAAAGGATGAAGGGATGTACCCCATTCTGGGTACTCAGGTGCATTTGTGTTCAGAACTTCAGGATGGTGGCACTTCAGAACATCTAGTTTCTCATTCACTGAGAGGACTGGTTCACTTCCACAGATTTAAAAGATGTATATTTATTGCAGAAGTTATATACAATAACTCACTTGAATTCCATCACAGAGTTTTTTTACCAGCATAAATAGTGTCTGTCTCATCATGGGGCCTGACATAAAATACAGAGTCTTTAAAATAGCCATTGCTATTTGACTGAACCAGTGGTAATGGTCCTTTTTACTTGACTCCAGATGCATTTCCTTCAGCACTGGTCCTTGTTATATTTTTATTTTGGAGTTGGTTCGCAGTGGATGCAGGTTTATGTCCCATTAAGGATACATTATTCTCTTTGCTAGTAGGTGAACTTCTCTAATTGGGGCCCATTTTTGCTGTCGCAGCAGCAGCATGGATGCTTCTTGGGAAGGCTAAGAAGCCTGTTGTGACCATTTTACTATGCAGGTGTGATGGACTCTTTGTGAAAAGTGTCTCCTTTATCAACTGACTACCTGCAACTTCTTGCTATAGTGAAAGCACCTATAACCTTTGAACCAGAGCCTGGTTGTCCAGGTTTTTTTGAAAATACAGTAACAGTTCATTAAATGAACAAGCAAGGCAATTCTTGATCTCCACTCTGATTCATCTATCATTACAATTTTGGATTTGTTGCATCTGTCAGGATGTTTTTGTCATGGATAATCATCTACTGAGTTTAGCCACAATGTTAGTAAATGCTCTCAGTCACCCACCAGCCTAACAGAGAAATGCTGGTTTATCATGTAGTAGCTTGCAACCTTTTCAATTGCTAAGGTCTGCCCAAGATAGGTCTGGTGTCCTACTAAGTGTAGTAGAGTTTGTAACAGAAGAGGTATGCTACTATCCTATCAAATATCCCAGCAACTTACTCACAGTTTTCAAATTGGGAAAGCCTACAATCTTAGATGGATAACAGTACCATCCTAACCCACACTCTGTCTACTACATAGCATGTTTTTTATAAGCCAGTCATTCTTAACATAGATTGCACAGATTTTAGAGATTTCACAACAAACTTCCTTGCTTTTGCTGCTAGGTACATGGCACTTCAAATTACTTTTTCTTTTAGATTTTTCTTAATCCCTAAGGCCTTGATTTTTCTTTCCATAAAGTATGTTGATGTCAATTTCTGTGATGCATGAGTAGGACTGAGCTAAAGATGCTGTTGGAATCCTGTTCTGTTAAAAAAAAAAATAAATCAGTTTTCCTCTTTTGTTTGATAAAAACTAATTCTCTTTTTAGAATGCCTTTTCCCCTTAAAATGTAGGAATTTTTTGTTGTTCTTGTTCCAATCCTATAGATTAGAAGGAACTGTGCAGATACTTCCATAATGATGTCCAAGGTTCTATATAATCAGTTCCTAACTCATAAGAAGCCTGTCATGGATTTGCTTTAATTTATTTACTGGGTTTATATGTTATTCCAATGATTCCAGACTCTGAGCAGCTTATATACCCTATTTCAATAAGGTTAAACATTTACACACCACAAATATCAAATTGCACTTTCCTGCTGAGGAACAATAAAGAGACCACATACAGATAAACCCTGGAACAATATTCATGTTATAATCATCCTCAAAGTCAGGTTTTAATAGCCTTCCTAGAACCCAGAAGAGTTGGGGCCATGTGAATCTCTGGAGAGATGCTATCCCATAGATGGAGTCAATGAATGAAAAAAGTTGACCTCCAAGATCCTTGCAGCTTACATTCTCTGAGAGAAAGGACCCACTGGGAACTCTTTCTACTTGATCTTACTGGATGGGCAGAAAGAACCAGTTGGAGAAGGCAATCCCAAAGATACCCAAGTCCTGAGCCATGAAGGTCTTTAAAGGTCACAACAAATTCCTTGAATTGCATCTAAAAGACTGGTAACCAGTGTAGGTCTTGACGCAGAGATGTTATATGGCAAATCATTATGTACCCATAAATACTCGAGCCACTGGATTCTGCACCAGCTGTAGTTTCTTTTTTTTATATATATAGTAGTTTTATTGATCACTCAACCTACTGCAACACAACCAACACAAGCTGTGAAAAGGATAACATTGCCGTACATCAGAAACAACCAACAGACTGTTACAACTACATGGCATCTCTGTAGCACACAAACCAACTAAAGCCCTCCAAAACATCTTAAGTAAACCAAAAGATTAAATAGACCAAGAAGAAAAAACAGGAGTCATCTACAACATACAGTGTAAGGACTGTAACAACCACTATGTAGGACAGACAGGTGGAAGGCTAGCAGAGCATATCCATGAACACCAACTAGCAATCAAAAGACACAATGAAAACTCCTTAATTTCACAACGTATGGACAGACTTAACCATAGTTTCAACTGGGAAGCTCTCAGCATCTTAGACCAAGCTAAATCCAAAAATGCGAGGGAATTCTTGGAAGCTTGGTATTCAGATCTCAGCATCTTAGACCAAGCTAAATCCAAAAATGCGAGGGAATTCTTGGAAGCTTGGTATTCAGATCTCAGCATCTTAGACCAAGCTAAATCCAAAAATGCGAGGGAATTCTTGGAAGCTTGGTATTCAGACAAGGTAGCCATCAGCAGGCACATAAAGATAAACAACATTACACACTATTCAAAAGAGACAATAAAAAGGAAACAAAAAGACCAGAACATTTCCTTGCCAGCAGTCATCACCCAGATAAGCAGAGATTAACACCAAGACTAACACCAGACAAACAAGCAGTAAACAATACCCTAATCAAGGAACTACCAAGAAAAAAAAAACATACTCCCACCAACACTGGCAGGGCAAGCTACTATATATAAACAGAGAGCAAACCCCACTCCATTCTAGCACTTAAGATGTTGCTGGGTAACAAAACATTTGCAAGAAAACAAGCTCAGAGAACCCCAAGGACTCCACAGTAATTTTATTAAATTTTATTAAACATTACAATTAAAAAGATAAAAACTAATTCAAACTAAGAAAAATTAAAAAAAAAAATAGAAAGTACAGAAAAGAAAAAATAGAAGGAAAAATAGAAAAGAAAGAAAAAATAAGAATATAGTAAAGCAAAAGAAAAAATATATAGAAATGACTTTCCCCTTCATCACAAGTATAAACAATTTTAGTAACCTATCACCTTCTCTTAAAGTACAACAAATGATCTCTTCTTCCCATATCCCATCTCTTATCTATAAAACAAATCCTTAAGCCTCATTGTTCAGTCCTGATCAGCAAAAGTCCATTAAGGGTTACCAGAGATAACACATCTATTTTAACCTTGATCAAATAAATCAACTTTATATTACTTCCTTCCTTCTACTTTTAACACTCTTGATCTTTAGTCCCTTCAAATAATGTCTTAGAACTTGATTTCTTTTCATTTTTTCTTTGTCCCTTGTCACAAAATTCTTCAAAGTTTTAACAAACTTTAACAACTCTTTTGTAAATCCTATATAGGAAAGTTACCCAGGTCACCCTTTTGGTTATTTGTATATCCCTTTTAATTAAGACATCAGCCAGTTTCATTTGTATATCCAGCGTAGCATCTTTTTCCATATCATTCTTGTAGCCTGTCATTTTTAAATCCACTTTTAGATGAGTCTCAGTCTTGCCAGTAAAACTTGTTCTTCTTCCATTACATCTTTTAAACTCAATTTATCTGTAAGGACAGGCACTCTTAAAATTAACTTCTGGGTCCATTGTTCAAAAATATTCTTCAATACTTCCAATGTTAAGAGGAAATACTTTGCTCCATTCTGAATTAGGAAGTCAAATGTAAGTGTTCTTCTCCTTTAATTGTAATCTTAAGTTCCTTCTGGTTCCCTCTAGTGTCCAACCTTCAAAGTCCCGTCCTATCATGTTTATTTATTTATTTATTTTTTAAATTCAAAACAAAAGCATTTTCCCTTGGGAAGGATTCTTATAATTAATTTTAAAATCTTATTTTAAATCCATCTGGACCCTTAGTGTGTTTGTAACTTTCCAAAATCAACTTGTTGATCCAAAGGTTCCTAATAGCTGAAAAGCAGTTAAACAATTTCCAAAAGTGATTAGAAAAGGTAGTGCCTGTAAAGGCAGACTGCAATTTGAGCAGTTTTCCTGGGAAGTAATGGCGAACTGAAGCAGAGCCGACGACTGCAGCAGAATGAAGAGCTGGCAACTAGACCGGCTGTTTGTAATTCCTCTCCAGACAAGGAGAGGACTTGTGATCACCCACAAATGCTGCAGACACTTGCTCCTCTCAGGGAGACCACAAGACATCTGGGTTTCTCCAGTGGGTTTAGAGCTCTGGGAGACAAGGGGGCAGCTGTAGTTTCTGAGTGAGCTTAAGGGCAATCCCGTATAATGCACATTGAGATAATCCAAACAAGAGGAGATTTAAAACATGAGTGATTGTGTGGGGCCTCCTACTTCAGGAAAGATCGTAATTGGTGCAGCCAGTTACATAATTGGAGCTGCCAACCCTTAATTGCTGTATAGTTATTAAGCTTTCCTGATGAAGCCAGGAATACCCTGAGCCAAGTGAAGTAAAGCTTAGCAGAAGCTCCCTATGTGCCGAATTACTGCCCCATCTACCAATTTTCCTACAGTTCAGTTGGAGATTTTCAGAAATGGGGTTTCCTGACCCTTTGGTTAACTTAGATAACCTCTTGATTTCTTTCAGCAAACATGCATAGTTTGTTAGGAAAATTACATAATTGAAAATTTGGATAGACTTTGCTGTATGTTTCAAATAGACTTAATAATGAGAAATTTGAACCAGATATTGCTGGATAACACATTTCATAACTCTATTACATCTTATTGAATGAGAAAGGTTTGCTTGCTGATTTGAGTGACTCTTACTGGTTGTGATGCGTAAATAAAGACTCTCTGGAAAAAGTTGACTCTTGATGACTAATGGGACACCCCCATATAATTTCCTTGGTATCTTTGTCAAAGTAATTTGGTACTGCTTTCTTCTGGGATGCTTTCCTGACATGCCACTCTGATTGATAGTTCTCAGATTTCCATGTGATCCTCATTCAAATACTAATTAGATTTGATCATGCTTAGCTTTTTTAGAATCAACTAGGGTCAACTAGGTGTTGCTGCCTGGTTATATTCACACTTCCATTTTTTCCAGACATGATCCAGGGATTGAATATGTATCAATTTTTGTATATAACATTTTGATAACTTAAAATATAATTAGATTTCTAATGATTTTTTCCCCTTTTATCACCTTTCCATTTAGGTGTAGCAGAAAAAACACAACTTTTAAAACTAAATGTCCCTGCCACATTTATGCTTGTGGCACTGGACGAAGGCCCAGGTCCTCCAATCAAATACCAGTATGCTGAATTGGGCAAACTATACACTGTGGTGTCCCAACTAATTCGCTGTTGCAATGTGGCATCACGTATGCAGTCTTCTATCAATGGTACTATTTTGCAGTTTATAGATAAAATGTATTTATTATGAAATGTGTGAAATTTATTTTTAAATATTTTTTATCAATATTTTTCTAGAGTGATGTATATTCTGTACTGATAGAAAGGTGAGAGGGATCAGACTATGGGATGCTTTTTTTTCAGAATCAGTATGAATCGATTTGAAGTAGGAAGTGGAGCTTTTAGCTCCTGGACTGATTGCCTCATACAACAGTACTTTTCGTGTAGGCTCCCACTTAGAAGTGTGGAGTGCATTCTGTTCTTAGAAGAAGTACTAGTTATTACTTTAACACCAGCTTCCTTGTGTTAATTTCAATGTCATAAGAGTTTGAATTATATTTTTAAGGAAAATTCTATTATTAGATTTGCTACTGGAACAGAAATCAATGCCAATGATAGATAAAACTTCCTTTCACTGTTGTTTTAACGAAGTTGTCAAGTAGCATGACCAAATAGTTAGTCCCAATATTAGAACACTGCAGCACCAAGCAAGTTGTGATAACACCACATTCTGGAATGTTGTTTTACATAACCAACTGTAGTTCCTGAAGATAATTGCTACAGCATCAATTATATATGTATCTTTGGTTCAGTGTTACATCTAAGTGAGCACCTACGCAAGAGTTTCCTATTAATCAGGAGATAGGTTTATGTGTTGGTATGGGTTGTAGAATTTGATATTATTAATAATATGATACTTTGGAGATTTATATCGTTAAGAGCAAAAATAAAGTACTACATATTTATTTTTTAGGTAATCCTCCACTTAGCAATCCATACGGTGATCCTAATTTATCACAACCAATAATGGCACTTCAGCAAAATGTGGCAGACATTTTGTTTGTGCGGACTAGTTATGTGAAAAAAATTATAGAAGATTGCAGTAACTCAGAAGAGACTATCAAACTACTTCGTTTCTGCTGTTGGGAGAATCCTCAGTTTTCATCTACAGTTCTCAGTGAACTACTTTGGCAGGTAAAAAAAAAAAAAAGCAAGAAAGCTTGTATCTTATGGAAATGGCTTTGATTGTCATATAATTGTTATTAATATATGTAAGATTTGGTTCATATTCATTTAAAATATTTATATCCCATGTATCAAATATATTTCCAAGCAAGGTGGCTCCAGTATATTAAAGCAAGTAATTAATAGCAGAATTAAAGTTTCTGAAGCAGCTCACAGGGATTGGCTTCGTTTATTTCTTTTGTTGCACTGAACTGGGAAGAAGCAGTTTTTGCACTTGAAGCAAATACAGTACGGGGGAAACAATTCATAAATAATTTTTAGGCAGTTTAATTCACACTATATGGCAAAACCTCAATTAACAGACTGTGATACGATAGATTTCACATGGGATAGACCACATTTCCACAGTGGTTTACATCATTTGATTTAATGAGATGCATTAAAATGATGTAACTTTCATTATGATGTCTTCATGCACATGAATTAAATTGCTGCAATAATGAACTTTTTTGGGGGGGATAGTACAGTCCTTTTATTTAAAGGACTGACTGGGAGGGAGGATCTCCATTATTTACAAATGTGCATTAAATATAGATGCACTCCCACTCAGTCTTTTAAATCAGGGTTTCACTGTACTGTCAAAAAACAACAACAACCATAGTTAGCTGCAATGTAGCTGCAGTTCTTGGTTTGGCAAGTTGATTCTTCTATATTTTATTTTAATTGCTTTCTGAAACCAGGGAAACGTAGTCAGGTATAAATAGAACTAGAATATGAATGGGAGAAGGAAACAGAATTCTCCAAACTTTTGATAATGATTTGATATTAACCTGAACTGATCCAGTGCCAGAGCATAAAACTTTGGAAAATACTTGTGTATTTTTTGGTATTTTTTGTCTAATAAAGAACATTCCTTGAATTTAAAGATTATACACACACATGGAACAATACATATAAACGATTATTCATGGACACATACACACCCAAGCTCATATATAAGCACATGTACATGAAGAATAAGTAATCATTAAATTATAAAGCCTTGTTTAACAGCACCTTCCCAATAGTTTGTTATGACATAAAAAAGGTTCATAATACTAATATTCAAATATTCATGATACATATCATTTGTGATATATGCTTGAATTAGAAGTTGTATGTTAATATTTTCCTTTCAAGGTTGCATATTCTTACACGTATGAACTTCGACCGTATTTGGATCTACTTCTCCAAATCTTGTTAATTGAGGATTCTTGGCAGACTCACAGGTTAGCAATTGAGATTTTTGGTCTTTTCTTCCATTTGAAAGTCTTTTCTTACATATTTTGATCAAAATATCATGCTGCAGTAGCTTATCTTGAACCATGTTCAAAGTTGCTATTGCAGCAGCATAAGGGAAATGCAGGTCAAACATGCCTGGTATGAATAAGATGTAGCAGTTGGAGAAAGATGTTTGTTTGCATCAGATAAAATATTTGAATTGTGGCAAATTCCCTTTGTGGTCGTTGACAACCCACTGTTCTGTACTTCAATGAGGAGGAGAACAAAAAATTATGGAGTGAAGTTTGATTCTCAAAATACTGAAGGAACTCCACCTGCAAACAATGCGTTGAGCAAATTCTGAGTTTTATCCGTAGGAGAGGTGCATTCATTCTAATGTACAGATGGCATCTCTCACAAATAACTGTGATTAGCACTGATCATACATCCTTTTTGTTGTGGGTTTAGACTTTTTATTTACATAGGCATTTAAACAAAATTATTTATTATGTTTAATATATATTACAGCTTTAGTTTTATATTAATGTTGAAGCAAATGTACCTTGCCCTTAAACCAATCATTATAGATGGTAAATTATAGAGTTCTCAGAGTTGTTAATTAATTAAATGTTTTGAATACTTGAACTGTTACATAAATGCTAATATTACTAAATTGCTTGACTGATGCATTAAACCAAATATTAGAAAATCATTGAATTAAAATAATTAATTTCAGTGAGCTTGTGAGAATGGGAAGAAGTCATGATAAAAAATGGCAGTGGGGTGGGGAAATTAAGAAAAGTGGAGTCAGGGATTCAAGATGTTACCTGTTTCTGGATGGAGCCTGAGAAGTCTTGGTACTGGTCATGCGATAATTACGTTGCCAGCACCAGATCTTGCAACTTTATACAGTTATAGGTGGTTATCAGGTTCCATCTTGAAATAGGCATTTCCTCCTTTGAAGAAAGAAAGGGCAAGATCTTTAATATGGGGTTTTTCATCAGTTGATGTTGTATGATGAAACCATCTAAAAAGAAGGAGAATTAACTGTTAGAAATGGGATTGAAGAAGGGTGCCTTTCTAAGAGGGATTATCCAGTTAATTTCATTTGTGGCTTAAATCCCAAATTTGGCACCAAATCTGTTTTGGCTGTAGAGGTGTTCAATATTGAAATCCAAAGCAGGAAAAACAGTTCAAATCCGTTGTGGGTATACTGGGTTTATCTGCCAGCTGTACCTTAAAGAAGCCAAGCCTTTTTCTGATGTCACACAGTATTGCTCCCTGTCATCACCTGAAAGTCTCTTGTTCAAGCACATACTTTTCTATGAATAATCTATAACTGGAAATATATATGACTGTGTATATGTGATAACTGTTGGGGCAGTTCAGTTAAAAGTTCCATTATCAGCTTAATGTATTTGTGATCAAACATACTAAGTAATGAACTGCAGGTTGTTTCACACCTTGGTCTGAAGATTTTTAACTAGTAGTCTAAAACTAATTATTAACTTGCCTAATAAATGCAAATTCTGCTTCTGTAATTGCACAGTTAATAACTGGATGGGCTTTATTCAAAATCAGACCAATCTTATTCTTTATACCTGAATGACAAATTTGAAATTTGTGCATGCATTTGTACTTGGGGGGGGGGGATGTAACGTATATTATATTTCTAAGATAAAATAATCCTCCTCCTCCTCCTCCTCCTCCTCCTCCTCCTCCTCCTCCTCCTTCTTCTTCGGATGCCTTCCCACACTGGTTTCTAGGTATTATCAATCTGGAATGCCAATAAAAGCAACCAAAATTGAATCAGTCTATGGGCAATTCTGCACTGTAGGCTAAGCTGCTTGTCTCCAAAGCTGCTGCTGGCTGTTTCTAAGCCAACCAGAAATTCCAATCCAAAATGTAGTAGGGTGGCAGTAGGGCTGGGCTGGTAAAAATGTTCCTTTGTTGCAGCTTAAATATGTTTAAAAAGTTAAGAGAAGAGAAGGAAGTTTTGCAGTACTATGAGTAGGGAATGGGAAAGCAAGATGAGCATGCTTCACCCAGCCTAGGCAGAAAATAAAAGGATGCCCTACAGGAAATATAAGCAGCAAATTGAATGCAGCATGAGCTTCTAGGGTTGCGTATAATTCATTTATTTAATAGGGCATTGCTGGATCAACTGCAAGATTATTTTTTTTAAAAAAGAGCAACTGTTGATCAGCAGGGAACATAGAAGCCCAGCAGCCCAGAACAAAATGGCTCCCCAGGGCAGGAATCAGTCATAGGAAGGGAGGCAGCATTCCAGGCACTGCAGCCAATCAGATCTGGGGCTGCTTCTAGAATGGAACAAAGTGCTGGTGGCCATCTGCTGTGGGGACTGAAGATGGCTTTAGTTAGAAAACAGCACTTTTGAACCAAAACTAGAAAAGGTGGGCGTGAAGTGCATTTGCAAGAGGCTGGGAGTTGGAGTAGGATGACATCATCCATTCCGGTACAGGTAGTCCTCACTTAACAATGGTAATTGGGACTGGCAACTCCATCACTAAGAGACATGGTCGTAAAGCATGACATCATGCGACCATGCCAACTTACAACAGCAGTTGTGGCAGTTCTGGTTGCCATCATTAAGCGAATTCTACGCAGTCATTAGGCGCATTGTCATGAGATCACCATTTGCAACCTCTTTCTGGCTTCCCCATTGACTTGCATGTCGGAAGCCAGCAGTGAAGGTTACAAATGGCAGTTATGTGACCATGGGATACTGTAACCATCATAATTGTGAGCCAGTTGCCAAGCACCCGAATCACAATCACATGACTGCGGGGGTGCTGCAATGGCCACAACTACAAGGACTGGTCATAAGTTTCCTCGTTCAGAACCATCATAACTTCGAACAGTCGCTGAACAAGTGGTGGTAGAACAGGGATTCACTGTTCTCAGAAAATGGCAAGTGGCCCTTACTGGTGAAAGGTAAAACAGAAAGTGCACATCTGCCATATGAATATGAACCAGTTACTGAATACAAGGATACCAGGATGCCTTGTAAATGAGTGGTTTTGCTATCTGGATACATTTGAGATACATCTCAGAGGTAATTGGATTACTATTCTCATAAAATAACTCTATAAGAAAAACAGAAGGATGTCAAGAGGAAATGAATGTGTCTCACATAATCCACTGATTCTTATATCTGTGCTCTGACTCCCTATACCTGCCAGGTATGTGAGGTTTGGCATGTCCTATGCAAATCAATGATTTGACTCAGGGAAACCCAAATTCATCCCTCTTCCTCTTGAGCAAAGGTGTTCCTTTCTTATTGAGCTTCTTGTTTAAATATACAGGTCTACAGGTAGTCCTTGTTTAGTGACTGCCTCATTTAACAACCATTCAGTTACAATGGTGATGAAAAAGTAACTTTGCGACCAATCCTCACATTTATGGCCTTTGCAGGTCTGTGAAACAAAGGAAAGCTGAAGTAAAATCATAAGCACAGTTGCAATTTCACTTAGCAACCACTTTGCTTAATGACTGAGTCACCGGTTCCATTTGTGGTGCCTAAACGAGAATTACTTGTATAAGGTTCAACATAGCTCCATATATTTAATAAATGGAAATTCAGTCAGGTGATAGTATAAATATTACTTACTTTCCACCTACAGACAATTTCAGAAGCAGGGTCCCTTAACAGTTGAGATGGAAATATTTTACTTGAAACAAATCAGTGCTGAAAAGAACAACCAAAGATAGATTTAATTGATACTGGGTATAATGTTCCCTTATTCCAATTTTATTAATAAATATTTTGATGAGATGGAGGTGGTGGAATATGTTGATCCCTTTTCAACTCATTCCAGGTGCAATTTTTACAAGTGGATGGTAGAATTTGCTAATTTTACCTTTAAAGATGTACCACAACATATAGCATCACTTTATTATCCAGTATAAAGGCCTTTTTCAAACCTAAATTTTATTATTGAGAAAGAGAAGGTATACAGATGATTTCTAATTGGGCTATATTGTGCATAAAGAGGAATATATAGAGACAAAAGTTGTGCAAAAAAGACCAAAATTGAGTAGGAAGAAGCTGAATCTGGGAAACAAAAATCATACTACTTAAGTCACTGCTCTGAAACCCACATATTAGAATTTAAACTGGTTTAAATTTTAAATTAAATTCAAATGCTTTGACTAAATTGGCTAGTAGACAAGACTGTGAATCAGCTAAATATTTCTGACTAAACACATGAAACATGCTGGATATAAGCATAATTTCCGTTGAGCCAATGAGGACATCCCATTACATCAATTAATTGTGAACTAGCACCATATAAGATTCTATGGCTGCATTTATACCCCTGACTTTGCTAATCACAATGTGATTTGCTTGGTTTGGGTTAGGTTGTTGCTGCGTGAACCTAGACACTGAGATTTGCAGCCATGGCTTAGGTCTTATATATTATGTGAACCTGGCTTATAATAAAACAGTGTGGTGTGTATAACCAACAGAATTGTTAAATGATGAGTATTTTCTTTTGTTTTAGTGCTTTTTGGTTCTATGAAGCAATAAGCAAATATGTAATATTTGGCCTAGTATCAAATTTATGATGTTATGCTAGTTCTATGATGTGACCAGAATACTGTCCCAGCCATTTAATATACATTCTGTTGTGAGAAATAGTAGCAGTCCAGCAATGAAGGAATACTTAGCAATGCAAATCTACTTAACTTGTAGTTCCTGAATCTATATGAAGTTTTGATTGTCTTCACTTCATGGCCCAGGCTCAGGACTCAGATTCTGAATCTGACCCTGAAGCTGCTGCTCCAGCTGAGCCTGTGGAATGTCAGCCTCAGGAGAGACAAAGCCAGGAATGACATGAGGCTGATCAAACACAGGCACCACCTGAGCAGCTGGAGAAGTCAGATGAGGATGACGTAAGGCCTCCCAGCCCCCACACCTGAGGAATAGAGAAGACAGCAGAGCAGCGAAGGTCTATTAGGCTCCTTGCCAAGCAAGGGAGTAAATCTCCTGATTAGTGACAGCTGGCTGCA